ACCGATCACTCCAGTCTCCTACCCACTCTCCTTTGCCCCAGGGGTTCCACAAACGGATCAGCTTCACAAGTTTTCCTTGGCTAATAAGCTGGCCGCAGGCACCAGAAAAATCACAGTTATTGGTTCAATGCATGCTCAATCATCCAGGTAAGTAAATCACAAAAGGCTGATTCTGTTCATCTGGACGTAACGTTTTCAATGCAAGAAACGTTTCGTCACTCATCCAAGTGACGTCTTCAGTTTCAGCTGACTGCAGGTTTCCCCAACCTTATAAACAGTACATTGCACAATGACTGAAACGAGCATCACTGAACGAACAATCAGCTGGGAACACTGGTTTGAGGCCATTTACGTGATTGCTGTGATTGCAGCCATTCCCCAACTCTCTGTGGATGGTACTCATGGCCACTGATCAGTGGTCTTTGATCAGTAGTTGTTAGTCAATGGTCATGAGAATTTGCATACTAATGATCAAGGAACTGATCTCAGAGCCCACTGTTCATTCAGTGGTTCTATTTTCAGTCATTGTGCAAATGTACTGTTTATAAGGTTGGGGAAACCTGCAGTCAGCTGGGACTGAATAAGTCACTTGGATGAGTGATGAAACGTTTCTCCCACAAAACGCTACGTCCAGATGAACAGAATCAACCTTCTGGGACATATTATTGTTGTATTTAAATGTATGCTTAAAGGTTTTTAAATCTCCCCTAAACATTTTTGTCTAATATGTCATGCGCTTGTTTTTGCTGTAATTCTTCCTACACTGCATACTGTGATACTACTGTATGTGATAGCATTCTTTTTATTGCTGTAATCTTACCAGGGAAGTATTATTACTGTAGATTCACTTCCAATACTAACTGTGATTACTGTGTAAGTATGATTCTTTACCTCTTTAACCCCTGTCACAGTGTAGGCGTGCCCTTGGACCAGTCCATTTGGCAAAACTGTGTTAGCAGATGTTTCCTGCAATCAAGGAACATTGGTCATTGTAAAAGCATAAAAAATGAAAATAAAGACTTCTGATACAATAATATCATTAGAAAAAAGTGACTGCAAAGTTTGGTTATGTTGACTTAAAGCAAATTTCAACATTTTGGGACACTTTGTCTTCATAAAAGATGTTTCTGGCAGTCAACCAACCGCTTCACAAAAAACTTAAAATAGATTTTGAACTTTCAGAGTCTAGTAAGTCAAAACAGTCTTCTTGTTCCAGGATTTGCATTCCCACTTAAGCAGTCCCAAAGTGCATGCTAACTTGGGTTGTATTTGTGCAATATTGGTTGATAATGCCATAAATATAACTTCATCATTACATCATTGATTTAGTTTTATAGTTTTTAGGCAATATGATACCAGTTTTATTGGTAGCCCTTTTTTGTAGTTGGAGAATAATCTCCCTGAATAACCTCGGGCTGTTTCTGAGTTCTGTTTTTTTGTGCTTACCCCTTGAGGTGTACCACAGCCCATCAATGTGTTGGATTTGCCAGCTCTGCATATCAGCCCCCACACATCTGAACTGGCGTCCGACAGCTGGACGCACATGTGGACGCCACCGGTGAAATCCATCATAGCCTCTGAAGGAGTTCCAGAAGTCATGTCGGTGTAGGAACCACAAACTCTGACAGAGGTAGATAATATTTTTCACAGATCCCCCACATGTAACATGTTCACTGTATATCGGATAAATCATATGTTTCTTTGCATACTTGGCATAAGCTTTCTCCAGCAGAGCAGGCCAGAACTCATTTGGATCTTTGGAGTGAACAAAGATTAGTCTGCCATTGATCGTCGGCAACTTGTCATCAATGACGACATCCACCCACCGCCCGAATCTCCAGAACTAAAATAAAGATACAATTGTTTTGTGAGCTTGTTGTGTTTCATGAAATTTGATCATTAGAGACAAAATAATCCAAACTCTGAAATAAACAGCTTTTAAGTTTTAGTTTAGTGGAGAAAAACAGTTAAAGATAATAATTACTTCTCTTATTCTGATAGTTTAATGATGTTTACCCTGAAGTGAAAAATGCCACAGTAGTTCTCTTTGATTTTTTGGTCGAGGGGAACAACTTGTTCAAAAATGTGATTCTGGAAAGTCAGTGCGCCGATTGATGCAAGAAACCAGCAGTTTCCTGGTTAACAACAACAAAAAAGAACAATCAGGACTGTAGGCAGATACAAGAATGTAAATATTAGGAGTGAAGAAATGACCCTACCAAGTACACCTTGACCAAAGTCAAATCTGGAGACGCCATCAACCACAAATTCAGCATCAGGAGCAATTTGCTGTAAAACAGGGAGTCCGTTTTCAAATATAAGGATTGCTTCACTCATTTCCACTTAATGTATCCGACCATTCCCAAATTTAAGAGGTTTGGGGCCAAGTTTGAAATATGAAACTCTACTTCACAGGCTTAAATATCAGGATTAATTTAATTATTGTCACATCCACTAGAGGGCACTGTTACAGTGAAAATCTCACTTCTTGGTTCATAAGAAGAGCTACATTTTCACAATCTCAAATGCAGTGGGGCAAAGGTGGAAAAGATATTGTATTTTGTTTTCTAAAATTCTAAAATGAATTATTAGCTCATGTCTAGCAGTCTAGTTTTGCATGTCAAGCTTGTTTTGGGCAACCACTTTTATTTTTGAAATGTTAAGCATTATTGTTAGCCGTGTACTGGGACTGTGTGAATTGAAGAACAGCTCATTCAAACACTTTTACAATCTGACTGCAGAAAAATGTCATTAGCAGAAAATTTAAACTGAATCACTTGCAGTGAAAAAGGGGGAATCAGTCCCCGGCTGATTAAACATTTAGATGTGATAGAGCATCTAATGTGCAATTTAAATATCTTTAAATACTCACCGCAGGTCTTAGCCACTTCACGTGGGCCAGGTCGGAGGGCTTCAGTATCCCCTGGCCAATAGACTTTGCATCAGGGGGGAACATGTCATCGAGGTACCTTACTCCTTTGATTAGACAGTACTGCTTCAGGTTCTTGAAGTCTTGGTTACAGAACCTTTCAGGGTTGGAGATGCTCCCATATCCCTTCTGCTTGTGACGAGCCTCCATAATGTTCAGGCATGCACCAGGAAGAGGCATTGCTGCAGTGTTTGTGTCTGTTTTCAAGAAGTTGGCATGTAAATTTGACAGATTAGTATAATAAATGATATGCTACAAAGAAACAATGTCAGCTCAAATCCTAACAGTAAAATTAAATTCTTCTTAAAATGATCAGTACGCTCCTCAAACCTTTAGGGTGATTATCAGTCTACTCCACCTCCAGATTACAACCAGTAAATTACGTTAAATATTTTTTTGGTAACATAACTTTAGATATTAAAAATAAAGCTTGGTTGATGTAAGAATTAATGTAAAAAGTCAATGCCAAAAAAACATGACATACTCTGTCATTTCATATATTTAATTGTCATATAAGACAATTTTATTCTTCTTTGCTTGTGTTTAAATTCAGTACTTCAGAAAAGGTTATTTGTAGGCACGCTTCTTTATGTATGAAAATCTCTGTCTGCACAAAACAAGTACATACAAATTACAAATTCATTAGACCACCACCCAGTGTAACGTTTATACCACAGCTGCTCTCAATTAACAGTATTAGTAAATACCAAAATCATGTTTTATGTTTCTGTAACCAACTGTATGTGTAGCCTCTTTAATCAAAATAGTATTTTTAAAGCTTTTGTTATCCATTAATTTTCATATTTGGGTATACAACTGTAATTTTATTTTAATTTGCCTAATAGATAACAATATAATTCTAAGTAATTTCTAAAAACACATTTTCATTCTTGTTATGATAGATGGTCTAATAAATTTGTTAAGCACTGTATGCCAATTTGCTTTTTAGGAAGCAGCTCAGCTCATGCTTAATGTTTATATTGACTATAGCTGCTACTACTAATAATATTAATAGAATTAACTAAAAACAATATACATACTGAGATTAAAGTGGTACACATTTAGAGGAAATTACCTAAGATTTAACTCCGTTTTATGAGCCGTTTTTTACAAGGTAACAGTCTGCAACAGCACAAGTGCAGCACCTGTTCTAATAGGTATAGGTGACCCATAATGATAAAGGTGGGTCGCCTAACTAAATCTAGGTGAGAAAAAAATAGGTGAAATAATATATAAATATTAAAAACATTGCTTGGGGTTTTTTTCACTTTTAAAAGAAAAAGAACTGCAATTTACAATAAAATATCAATGAAATGCCCATATAGTAATAATATTTAATGAGACTATGAAACTAATAAAAACAAAACAAAACCTAACACTAAAAGTAAATAGAAAAAGCAAAACTATAATAACTGGTTTTAGTCATTAGTCCTAAAATTGTTAAACAAACATCTTACCTGAATGAGTCACGAAAGAGGAAGCGTGTTGTTTAGTAGATACGGAGCAGGTCTGCAGGTAAGAGTGGACAGGCTTCAGTCTTATATAATGCCCACAATCCCCTAAATTAGACAGGAGAGGTTGTGGCACCTCCTTACCTTACTATGCAAATTTCACTCAAACTCCACCACTTTCCTTGGAATTACTCTGGAACCTGCAGGGTTAGTTTTATAGGTGTTTACACACAAGTCATGTTAATTCTTAATGTACAGGTGTGATGCCCTGTATACAGCTTCCTGGTTTTTATTTAAAATAACCCAAAGGTTTGCTTGACTTCAGCGCAAATATGTAACTCTGTTGTTGTATGTTGTCTGCTAAATAAACATTATATTTTAGATGTTTGAACAACCTTGAGTAAGTTTGTTTAAACTTACAGGGCTGCCATGGTAGTTGGCATCCACTTTATTTTTGGTTTCTTCGAGCATTTGTGCATGTTAGAACTTGTAACTACACAAAGATTTTATGGCTGACAGTTAAATCTTTTTGCCTCTAAAGTGTTTGACTACTGTAGAACAAGAAAAAAAATTCACTAACAAAATAACTGACTTCACCAATTAAACTGCACGCCAAGATATTTTTGCTGATGTACATGTGCAGTAAAGATCCTGATGTTACTTGTTTAACAAAGATTTACTATATGATATATTTAAATATTTACAGACGTGGACAAAAATGTTGCTACCCTTCGGTCAATGAAAGAAAAACTCACAATGGTCAGAGCAATAACTTTAATCTGACAAAAGTAATAATAAATAAAAGTTCTATAAATCTTAACCTATGAAAGTCAGACATTGCTTTTCAACCAAGCTTCAACTGAATTATTTAAAAAATAAATGCATGAAATAGGCCTGGACAAAAATGATGGTACCCACAACTTAATATTTTGTTGCACAACCTTTTGAGGCAAACACTGCAATCAAACGATTCCTGTAACTGTCACCTCTCAGCAGGTATTTTGGTCCACTCCTCATGAGCAAACTGATCCAGTTGTTTCCGGTTTGAAGGGCGCCTTTTCCAGACTGCATGTTTCAGCTCCTTCCAAAGATGCTCAATAGGATTGAGGTCAGGGTTCATAGAAGGCCACTTTAAAATAGTCTTATGTTTTCCTCTTAGCCATTCTTGGGTGTTTTTAGCTGTGTTTTGTGTCATTGTCCTGTTGTAAGACCCATGATCTGCGACTGAGACCAAGCTTTCTGATACTGACCAGCACATTTTTCTCTAGAATCCCTTGATAGTCTTGAGATTTCATTGTACTCCACACAGATTCAAGACACCCTGTGCCAGATGCAGCAAAGCAGCACCTGTCACGGCCTGGGGGATCGGCAAGACGCTGATCGGCCTTTTTTTTTTCTTATCTCTCTCTTGCGCTCTCTCTCACCTCCTCTCTGTCGCTGGGGTGGAACTCATTGTGGGTTCACGCCCTCGGCCCACGGAAAAGAACACACCTGATGCCCATCAAGGTGAATGGCATTTCAGCCAGGAGGTGACTGCTGGTCTTCGCTGGATCGTTGTCTACCACGCGTCAGTGAGAGTCAAGCTACAGCTCAAGATAAGTCAAGTGTCTTTTGTGAATATCATGCTCATTCCTGTTTCCTCATCTACAGACCCCCTGGATAACCTTTCCCATGTGAATCTGTGTGTCAAGTGTGAAGAAAGGAACTGCAGTCATGTATGTGGAGAGTTGGAGAGCGAGTGATTCCCCCCCTTGGATTTCCCTGGAGTCCCGTCCCTCACATTGTTGTATATAGCACGGCACTCTCTGTATATACACCTGGTGAACTCTGTAAATAAATCCTTGTGTTCAGCTGATTCAGGAGTCCTGCGTTTGAGTCCCCTGCATCTTTGATCTGTCATCAATTTCCTCCTGCAGCCACGTCCAGGGAGGTTGGCTTAAGATAAGATAAAGGATTTCAAAAGAGAGACTCTGGATTAACATGTCCCTTTGGCCACATTATTTTCTTTCTTTTCTAGGGGTACCATCATTTTTGTCCAGGCCTGTTTCATGCATTCATTTTTAATTCAGTCAAAGCATGGTTGAAAAGCAATGTCTGACTTTCATTGGTTAAGATTTATTATTGGTTTTGTCAGATTAAAGTTATTTCTGTGACCATTGTGAGTTTTTCTTTCATTGACCGAAGGGTACCAACAATTTTGTCCAAGTCTGTATATTATAGGAGAGGCTGACTTATGGCGCTTCTTTGAAATCTCACTTGAGACGAGCATGTGGGCATGTGCTTCTTTTTAAAACTTTCCCGTTCCATTTTGCAGAAGTTGAAGTTTTTCAACATTAAATTAAAGGCTGCTTTGAATAACAGGAGGAGGCATGCATAGGCAGCCAGATAAAACTGTGCAATAAATATTGGAAATTCCTCAGGCTCCTCAGTTCCTCCTATTATAATACAACCACAGACAAAGAAAAGCATGAAAGATATTACATACGTAAGCCAAAATGGAGCAGCAGTGGAAAAAGCTTGACTCTAGTTTCCAGGTGTTATAGTGGCAAAACAAGCCAAAATAATCACCACTGTGGCCAAACATCTACACTTTGGTCTCTTCTCAACAAAGGACATTGTTACTGAAGTCTTGTGGTTTGATCAGATGCGACTTTGCAAACCTAAGCAGAACCTGCACAGACATCTGAGTCCAATCAGCGTCATGCCCGCCTTCTGGGAGCCAGTCAGCCTCCACTCTGCATGGTTTAAATGTCAGTGCTCTTCCATCAATCTCCCCTTCAGACATTCCCTTGTGGAACCCACCTCTTTCCCATCTCCACCTCACTGGAGTCACTCAGAGCCACATCCTAGCCTCATCTTCACTACCACTGGCATCTATAACTCCAGGGTGTTCTGGAGTACTTTCTTTTGATCATGGATGTAATGATGCATTTGTTATGATAAACTTGAATCTTAATAAAAACATTTTTTTGTTGTAAAATATTTCTCTATATCTATTAACTAGAAACACGTGAGACCCTAAAAAAAAACACCCAAAACAAATAAAATAAACGTAAAATAAAAAGTGTTCTGCATCACTGAAAATAAAAACTGGCTTTATGTGACTGTGATTATTTACCCCCAAGGCCTTTTAAACACGACTTTCCTTGGAACTGAAAGTTAAATGAATTATGATCACATGCTTGTTTTCACTTGCACTGCTTAACAAACCAGTTGTAGAATTTGATGTGCATAAAGTCTTTAGGGAGAAACCCAATATACAAGGGACTCTCAAAAGGGCAGAAGTTGTTGTTATTGCCCTGTCTCGGTAAGATACATACTCTCTAACAAAGCCAGCGCTCCTGAATGTCATCAGCTCAAACAATCTAGTTTATTTTAAGGAAACAGTCTTCTTGCAAAAAAGCCCACTCATGAGTTGTGGTAATAATTCTAAGACAGTTCTTAGACTAACCAGTTTTCTACTTTTTTCTTCTTTGTTTTCCAATAATAAAGCTTATTTGTTCCTCTCTCAGCCCGACTCCTACTGAGCACTCTTTACAGGCCACAGCTCTGTTCTCCAACACTCCCCACTGCACGCACTGGCTTGCGGCCTGCCTGTGATTTATTTTTTTCATTTGTTAAGAAAAAAACAAACAAACAAAATGTGATGAACAAACCACACAACCTGCAACTACAAGATAACCAGAAGAGTACATGGTTAGGTTACTTTCACACCATAAAAACCTGTTTAGAGGCAAACCTCTCCCATGCATCCTTTTCACCACCATTATACATCAGTGGTGAAATCAGCAAAGATGCACTTGAATGTCTCATCTGTTCTGGATGTTGAAGGATTCCCCTCACTGGCCATAATTTCCCCATTATAGATTACTTATATACAGTATTTCTAGGTGTAGTTAACACTTGCATTATTGTAAGCCAGTGTCAATGTTAAGGCCTAAATTGCCATTAGAATATTGCAATTAGGAGGATAACTGCAATTATAAACGAAAGCTTTTTATCAGAGTGTGAGCCTGTCAGTGAGCAAAAACTCCTTATCCAGGCTGGCCACGTGAGAAGGGTTACTTTGTTTCCTTAAGGAGGCCAGAGGTTATAAACTCAGCAGTCAGGATATGGGAATTTCTATAGAAAGGGGCATCTGTACTTTCACACCTTTGCTAATGAGTTAATCTGAAATTTGTGGTAAACACAGATTCTATGTCATTCTTTTGCATGTTTTACCCTGTTCAGTCTAACCGCCTCTACCTGCAAATTTAGGATAGGTAAGCTGGCAAAGCACATTTCCAGTTTATTTATTCAGAAGTCATTCTTGCATGATAGCGCATACAGTGATCTTATCACGTTCAGATCCTTTCAAGTGATGGGGAAAAATGAAACTAAATTACTGGTGTCATGTTAAGACCTGCCTATGGCTGCACAAGATGAAGATGAAGAAACTAAACTAAGATAACTAAAGGATGCCGTCAAATGCTGGAGTCTCCGAGGCCAAATTATCAAACAAAATCAACCCATTCCCAAGAAAATAGTTTAATTAAAAAGAAGGTAATGGTGAATTTCCCATCTAGTGAGAAGAAAAAGGAGTAGAATAGGCAGCAACAAAAAGGACAGGAGCCCTCATAAAAACCCACAATGAAAGTATTATTTTTACTCATGTAATTGTTGATTATTAGCATCGAAGTAGTAACTGAATGTGATGCACTGTTATGCTTACAGAGAGAAACACATGTTCGGTAACTGCACTAACAGATAACGAGGACTTTAATCAAAATATAATTAGCCGCCCAAAAGGGGAAAGAGAGAAAACTGTAATGGAAAACCAGATTACAAAAGGTTTTTGTGATAGTAGCTAGCTGGCAGTGCCAAAATGATTTATCATTTCTGTAGCTACTCTGTTCTACGGCTATATCCCAAAAAGTTGATTCTGTTCAGCTGGACGTGGGACAAACGTTTCATCCCTCATGACTTCTTCTGAAGCATCAAGATATCTGTGGGTGGGTGCGTAATGCCAGTTTGAGTTTGAGTTTGAGTTTGTTTTGTTCACACTAAACAACAAGCGAGCGAGAGAGATACTGCAACATGGCCAAACTTGTCTCCAAATTCGTAGTCATTTCGTTAAATTATGTTTTTGTTACGCAGCGGACCATGAAGACCACTCTACCCACATTTTAAAACTGAGACCTTCTAAAACATGAAGTCAAAAGATATAAGTCTTTTGACTTCAAGTTCTGTATGAGAACTCTTATGCCAGTCAAGGAAAAACTTTTTTAAGCTACAACATCAGTTTGACGTTAGAAAAGTAAACACCAAAGACTATGAGCTTTGAAACGTCTTGAACCAGAAAAATCGAAGCAGAATATTTCATTCAAACACACAATAGGTGTTCACAAACGCGAAAAAAAATATTAAAGTCTTCTGAAAATTATTCTCTTTTACTCATGCCTAACGTTGCGTTGGTCTTATATTCATCAGTCATCGGGCGATGGTCTGATTTTCTAAGCTATTTCCAGTCAAACTGGTACCACTTGTCTTTAAAGTGTTCCCAGAAGCGATCACTAATCTCTTTACTGTTATTTGGACATGCCAAAAACAACAACAACAACAAAAGGTTTTGTAGGCTGTTGACTTCGGAGGCCATTCTGTTGTTTTGTTGATTCTCTTTCAGTTAACAGGTGTCACTGATGGCATGTTAACTGTAAATGAACAATATCTAATTAGACTCTAGCTAGAGACCTGGACATTTCTGTTAGAAGCCAGTAGAGGGCAGTAGTGGAAATGATGGTGATCACACAAGAGAAGGTTGGGTCTGTAAAGACCTAAAATCATACATTAAACATACATCCTTGTTTATCAGAAACGATGTGATAATACACAAAAAAGTCTTTGGTGGAGGAAAAATAATTTTACTCAAATATTTTAACGTCACAATCAGTTATCTGATTGCTGACACTATTAACATGTACTCTATTCTCTTTGACTTCACTCAAGTGGTGCAGTGCTGCTATGCCCCAGTGTGATGGCTAACCCATATTGTGCAGAACTAGAAGGTCATTAATGCTTTAATCTCTTACAGACTATAAGGAGACTATGACGATTGCAATGCACATTATTCTGACATCAGCAGGGAAAGCATATGAAAACTGTGCTTCCTTCAACATCAGAATCTTAAATGTTGTGAATCGTGCTTACAGTTTGCCAACTCCTCTGTGATGTCCCAGTGCAGGATTAGAAACTTCCTTATGGCTGCTAATTTTTGACTGAACATCAAAGGTGACGTGGTCTTTGCAGAGCCCTCGGCAGGCTAAGTCATTGATAAACAAAAGGTTTACATAGGTTATGTTTTCTATTATGTTTTGAAAATGTAATTGAACTTGAATTTCAGGTGAAAGTTGTGTTTTTGTTTTTTTAAATTTCTCCCTGTAATTACAATACAGTAATTGCATAAGTGAGCATGGAGGCTGGTGGAGGGAATAATGTCCCAGTGGTGATGCTGGGTAATTTCCTGCCTTTAAACAAACACACTGCCTAATATTCTAGATAACATAACATGGCAATAAAATATATGAAATTAAAGGTATAACCTAACCAGCTCTTCCTTATTTGTAGCTGTAATTCAAGTTGGCACATGAACTACAGCTGTTCTGTTAACCTTAAATTAAATGTTCAATCACAAAGAGTTGAAAACATACTCACCTGTTTTGCTCGTGTCTCCTTTAGCGCTCCCAATTCCGAAGAACTTCATGCCTTTGCTGTGTTTCTTTAGCAACCACAGCTGTCATCACATTTTCCCTAGAATAAGTGTAACTTACTTGCACAGATTCCTGAGCAGAGGTTCCAGCAGGTTATCAGCTCATAAAGCTGTCCTGCCCCGACAGGTGCAATGAATCGCTGACTGAAGGAGCTGTCAGTCAGCATGAACATGCCTAAAATGCAAATATGGAGATTGCATTTTTGAATGAAAAAAAAAAAAAAGCTCACTGAATATTTGTGTTATTTGCAATATTTGCAAGTTGGGGCAAGTTTCTACCATCTTTTATCACCTGGTACAGTTTATCCATCATAGGCTTTGATTGCTTTGATCGAGGATGGAAGTCTAGCCAATACCACAGATGACATGGAGAGTCATAATCTGGTTCTCAAATACTTTCTTACTTACAGTTAAGTCTTTGCTTAGCAGGAGATAATGGAGGATAATAGGACAAATGTGCTGTCAACCCAAGAAATAGTGTCACTATAGGTCATGGTTCCTGTAAAAGTAAATAACCCGAGTTACCAACCTCCCTTTACAAACAAAACTGTGCCATGCTGTCAGCACTTGCTGGGGTGATTTTATCCAAGTCATGATGAAGCCTGTTGTTTCCTCAGACTTTAAATAGCAGACTCCACGTATGGACTTATATTGTACTCAGTGTTCTCTGTTTAGCTGCTCTAACAGCTGACATGGCTTCCAAGTTTTCCCACCACTGGATATCTGAAGGTTTGGCAACTGTTCTGTTATTAATCATATCCTTCACTCTGAACTCCTTCCGTGACATTAATATTGAGAACACTTAACACTTCAGAAATGTTTTCATACCGATGTGTGCGTCAGCCTCTCCAGAGAGCTCTTTTGACTTCATTGAATTGATTTTGCCCTGACCTTATGTACATTGTGCCAGACTAAATGTTCTTGCCCAATATATCTTGGACTCCAGACAAGTTTGTTAGCAAAGTAAACAGGATACATCTGGCCCACAGTTTCTCGTCCCACAGGAATGCATGTTTTTACCTTTTCTTGATGAGCTGTTAAGTGTCTGAGACAGTGTAAATATCTTCGACTGAGAGAAAGTTGCCAGGATGTAGTGGAAAACTTAAAGCATTATCATTTAACGACACTACTTTCTGCTACTAATTAATAGCTGAAAATATAATCCTACTATTACCGACTGGCCGGAAAACGTGTCAAAAAAATATGGGCAAAACAGAAGCTAGACTCCCTTTATCATGTAGTTGCGCTCGACTACATGTCCACTCTTGTCTGTCAATTTCTCTTTCTCTCTCTTTATAACAATATTTAGAATGAATACAGGCTTTGACTTGTCACATCCTTTAGACTTGCTCTCACCTGGATTTAGATCTGTACTGTAAACAAACAATGAAGCGCAGAACAGGAATAGAAGGTAGATAGAAAGTAAAATAAACTTTACATCAGCTTCTTTACCGGCAACTTGTAATATGCCAGGAGACTAATGGCTCCGAAAGTTAAAATTGGCCAATAATCTAGTAATTTAAGCTACATAAGCTAATGTTTCTGATGCTATTTAGAGAACAAATTCAAATAATGCAGGGGCGATGTTGTGACTTATCAGAACAGTTTGCACTTTTACAGTATTTCATATAAATGTTTTAAATCTGCATCTCTAATTTATATCATGAAATGACCCCTGCATCTTCTTTCTGCCAGAGCAACCAAAGTCTCATTTAATCTATTAATGACAAACCAGCCTCTGTGTGAGCGCTCTGGGTAGCTTTCATTTTCCAGTAGAGGAGGTGGCAAAATATGATTATAAAACAATGTCAGAAAATAATATTAAAACACATTATCATTACCCTGATAAAGGGTCTAAACACACCCATGACCTAAAACGAAGATGAAACCATAAAAAAACCATGTACGTTTACAGTGTTTTAATTATGGCTGTGAAAATACCAAAATAAAATTTTATTAAGTGGACCACATATTAACACAGACACACCCTCAGGTCAACAATCCCGAATTATATTTTTCATATAGCTTCTCAGAATATTGAACAAATTTTTTTACATGTTTTTATTTAAAATTGGAAAATATTTTATCCAAACAAATGGTGTTTGACATATTTTCAAGTATTTTTTAATTTCCAAATATAAACTATAAGAGTACTTGCAAGAATATAACCAGAAACCTAAATTAAATATAAACAGCTGAATTACAAAAGCTCGTGACTGGGTTGAATTCAAAGAAATCTGCTTCAGAAAATATTGCAAACAATAGATGTTAAGGCAGTTTTCTATAAAGTGTGAGAATTACTAAGTCACATCACATCAGAAAAGATTTACGTTTGTTTTCTGATCGTTGTCATGTAACTAAAGCCACCAGTTTCGTAGATTCACCCAGTTTGGTAAAATGTAGTTATTTGAATTTCCTACACCAAAGTAGACAGGCGGTGATTAACCTGATAGTAATAATATTTTAAATAGACTTGGAAGAATTTATTAGCAAGGCTTTGTTTGAAGTAGACACTATTTAAGTGCCACTGTGCACTCAGAGGGTGGAGATTGGTGTCTGTTTCCTGTGATTGAAGTCGAGGCACTTCCTGTATTTAAACAAATGCAGGAAACGTCTGTATTCACATGAAGGCCCGCAAAGGTCTTCTGTACTTGCCCTCCAAAAAGTTATTGGGTTTAAATATGAAAAAGCAGTAATCAAGAGTTATGTAAATTGTACATTTTGGGAGGTTTTAAACAATCCATTACAGTATGAATATTAAAACTCATATTTTGGTTATTATACACAAAAGATTAAATAGCAGCATAAGAGCTGGGGGTAGGCAGCAAATCTAATCAATAGTGATACTTCTATACCTGCATAACAGGAGGAAGATTACACATTAATAAAATACTGATGGTTTACGATAAGTGCAATATTAACATCTTTATAGTAAATAATGAGGTGAAGGTCAGACGTGGCGACAGAGTGGCAAAGTTTACGGGTTCACTTCCTGTGGCGGCTATTTGTAATGGCACAGTCCCCTCCATGAATCTGACCGCTCCATGTTCATGTATTGAAAGGCACCACAATTCAGGGAGTCTGCTTAAAAAGCTTGAACTCTGCTGGGGCCGGAGACATCTGGATAACCAGTCAAAACACTCCAGAGCCTTTCATTGTTTTCTTCCTCGAAACGGAACCAGCCAGCATGGGAGTAAGAAAGAGCTACTAACTGCTGCTAAACATGATTTCCGTCTTTAGTTTTGCAAACAGGATACTGGAGCCTGAATGTTGCTTTGAGAAACACTTGTTCTTTGGCTACGAATGGGCAACCACTTATTGGTCTCTTTTTACCCTAAAACTCCCAGGAACCCTTTGGAGAGCAAACATTTTGCTGATCTTCGTGGCAACTATGTTGTGGCTTCTTGTCCTGCAGCTCATTAACAGCTTCGAAGGTTTATCAGGGTCTGAACATGAAACGCTGTGCACCTCTAATGCCTGCTTCACTGCACACATGAAGAAGGAGAGGTTTGACAAGGCCAAAGAAGACTGCAACAAAAGAGGAGGATATTTGATGACCATAAGAGACCGAAAAGAAGAGGATGTGGTGCGCTCACTTCTCTCATTAATAAAAAGTCAACAAAATGGGACGCTGCTTGAATTTTGGATTGGATTAAAACTCAAAGAAACCGATTGTGTATTTCCTGACCAGCCACTCCGAGGATTTAAATGGGTATCTGGAAATGAGGAATCCCACTACTCCAACTGGAAAGAAGAGCCTGCCTCCACATGCTTAGCAGAGAGATGTGTAAATATTGATTACAACTTTTCAAGTGAGAATCACCTGAAATGGACTGCTGTCCCTTGCAAAAAACGTAAAGCTTTTTATGCATGCAAGTTTTATTTTAAGGGGATGTGTAAACCTTTGGCTCTACTGGGGCCTGGGGAAATCGCTTACACAGTACCTTTCTCACAAGACCCACTTAAAAGTCAACTGAAGTCATTTCCTCATGGAACTTTTGCTATAATTCGGTGTAGCGATCAGGAGGATCGCATGTCTTTGTGCAACGCTGTTAACCATATCTACCGGTGGACTAACCTGGGCCCCTTTTGCAAAACAGGAAACCGAAGCTGTGATATCAGCAATGGTGGGTGTGAACATTCGTGCCATCAGGATGCAGATGAAATTCGATGCGATTGCAGAGAAGGTTATGAATTGGAAAAAGATGGACTCCGCTGCAGGATCAAAGACTTGTGCAGTCCTGACAGCTGTGAGCATCAGTGTGTAATGAGCGAGTCGGGATATTTCTGCAAATGTCCAGTTGGCTTCGAACTGCACGAAAACCAACGCAACTGCTCTGACATTGATGAGTGCCAATCACAGGCTTGTAAGAACGACCTGTGCATAAACACACATGGCAGTTATAAGTGTGCCTGCAAAGTCGGCTACAAAATGATGGATGGCAAATGCAGGGATGTTGATGAGTGTGCACAAAGGAAATGTGAGCACATCTGCTTGAATACCATTGGATCGTTCTCTTGTTTTTGCAAGGAAGGCTTTGCTTTCTCTGAAGATGGCCATTCATGTGAAGACATTAATGAATGTGTGACTGACAGCTGTTCAGGGGCTAAGTTTGAATGTGTAAATACTGTAGGAAGCTTCATATGCACCCACCTGGAGAATGATGGAACCACTTATGCTCCAAATGTGACCTTTGCACCATTAACCTCATCAGATTACCCATCTTATGAGAAGACACAAGAAAACTTTACAGAGTCTTTAACCAGTTCTACAACTGAGCACCCATATCCTCAAACCGATTCACCCATTCCAGACCCGGAGAAAGTTACAAACAAGGATCCACTGAGCAACACAACCATGGCCACGAGTTTCGCCAAGACAATCAATTCCAGGGTGATAATCTGCGTCCTCGGTTCAGTCATTCCTCTTGTTGTGTTGATTGCAATTACTTTGTTTTTTGCAATTTTTCGATGCAGTCGCTCTAAAAAAGAAGTGAAGAAGAACACCACTGCAGATGGCTACTGCTGGGTGTCCTCTGGCTTGGATCCACGTTTAGAGAAACTATACGAGTCCATCTTGACTGATGACCCATGACCATTTAGTGACAGAAAAGACTGACTAGAGTTATGTTTATTTATGCAATTCTTGCAATCTCCTGTGATTACACTACATATCAAAACGCAAATCAGAAAACGTCATTGTCCATCAAATAGTATTTGAATAAGAGTAGAGTCATAATGGGGGAAAAATAAAAAATAAATGGGTGTTAAGTGGAAGTGCATAATATGCTGTAAAGGTTATGAAGGATGTGTAACGACTGTTTTTATTGCACGGTTAATAGTCTGAGGCAATGTAAATATCTTTACCTATGAGAAAGTTACCAGTATTTGCTGTATAAAAAAAATGTCATTCAATGTTAAGATCAGACACTTTTCTTCATTTGTTTGTGACAATATTTTATGCTATTGTGTATAATCCTGCTATTACCTCCTGTCCTGAGAATCTGCTTGTGTACTATGAAAACAAAAGAGGATCTTTAGCTTTAATATCACAGAAAATGATCATTAGACCATTTACTGATCACTCTACAACCTGTGCCCCAAATAACACAACAAAAAAAGAAAAAAATACACAAGTACCGAAGTAAAAGTACTAAAGAGATATTATTTGTATAATATGATCATTATTACTGGTGCATTAAAATGTTGGTGGTACTTTGCTGTTTGAGCTGGCTGAAGTATAATATAATCTAAAAGTAAAAAGTGGACTAACACGTATATTCTCCAGAGAGTATACCTCACAAACATTCTTAAGAACTTAAAGGTACTTTTTGAAAAAAAAAAATTGTTTAGAAGAGCTTCAAAGGTCAAAGCTTTTGTACTGTGTTGCAGCGATATGAAGTTGAAATAGGCTCTGGCTGTAAACTCTCATTTGGACCACGTGATAATACAGCGAGTTATTTTGACCTGCCCAGAGTTCAGCACAACACATTTCAGCCTTTTTAAAGATATTATTAAACTCCATCCTGCTAAAACAGAGCAGATTCAGACTATGATAAAAAACAAAAGGTGCCTTTCAAAATGTTTAAAAATGCTGGTAATTTTCTTGTTTTTGTTGAACAAGAAGTACCTTTAAGTAAACCTGTTTAGTCTCTGACAATGACATGTACTTGTACACACCAACAAATAAGTCTTTTTGATTGAAGTTCCACATCTACACACCATCATGTAAAGATGAAACTGGTGTCAATTTATATACTGCAAGTATAAAATCTAAAATGAATTGTTTGCTTGTTTTTCTTTGTTGTTCTTATTTACATATATAGATAGCACTAGCATTCATGAAGCCCATTCTATTACCAGAATTATTGTTTATGTTTCTGTAAAGGTTAATTTGTTAGAATTTGAATCCAATTTAATTTTTTTTATTTAATATTATTGTTCTTATCCATGAATTTATTTTAAACACATTACTGTTTTTGATGAGGTTGCCAAATTAAACCTTACATTCCAGAAAAAAATAAATAAAAATTAGCAATCAATTGTTCTGCTTGATTAATTCCTGACTTCCCAGAGAGGTCCAGTGTGCCGGCTCACATTTTGGTATAAAATCGGGAATCTTGATTTTAGGCAAGTACTTGAATTAGTTTGGCAGTTTATATAAGAGCCCTTTGCATATTTAGTATATCTAAACGTTGTTCTTCATTTTGTTGCTGCTGGTCCTACTTCAACTAATTTTTTTTTCTTTATCTCATTTCCTTCCTGAGATACCCTGTTTCCGCAATGGCACAAAGACTGGAAATTCCTCATCGTTTAAGACAGGCAACCTTTTGCACTCCACTATGAGACAGCATGGCCTGCTTGCAGACGAGAGCGCCTGTGCTTAGGATGAGTATGACTATTCTGATGGTTTCACTGACTGTTGGAAAAGGATTGGATATAAAGCAGCCTGACCACTGCAGAGCAGTTTGCAGTAATTATGGCAAACCTGACTGCATAACTCTAAACCAGGGTGAAGTGGATTTTAAAACAGCTGAAGAAGCCTGCCATGACAGGAAAGGAGAACTTCTGCAGTTGTGCTCTAAGAGTGATAAGAGGTTGTTTGACATTCTGAGTCAGGAATTGTTTGGGAACTACTGGATCGGGCTGCATTTACCAGCTGGTGCCTGCAGCAACCTCTCAGCTCCACTGAGAGGCTATAAGTGGATATCTGGCAGACCGGGCATCACCTTTCTTCCATCCTGGAATAACCACATTCAACTCTGCTCTCCACATTGCGTATCACTGTCAAGTGATGAAAAATGGACAGAGAGACCGTGCTTAGATAAAGCTGATGGGTTTCTGTGCAAAGTTGAGCTCCAAGATGCATGCCGTGGACAAGAAGTATCGCATCCAACCCTTTTTCAAAGCTATAAAGGATGTTCACCTGGACCATGTGAGCAGAACTGTGAGGATTTTAAGGGGGGTTACACATGCTCTTGTTTCAAACGATATATACCAGACAACAAAGACCCCAGGCAGTGCAAACCACACTGTGCACAAAAGAGATGCCCTAGTATACAAGAGGCTGGCTATGATGTATGTCCTGAAGGCTTTCTAAAGGTTGACGGAAACTTTTGTGAGGACCCTAATGAAGGTCCAGTCACAACTCCTCCAGTTGTAGCGTTTGTCAAACCACCCATCAGCAACAATACACTGAAGGCGTCTTCTGTTCCTGGGGTGCGCTTTCTGTGGGTTTGGATTGTGGTCATTGTTGTTGTCATTGCATCTATTTTTGTCATTAGGTTTTATGTAGTTAAGCGTAACAGGCAAAGAGAAAATTCTAATCGCAACAACGTTGTGACTTAATTATTGCCCCAAAATGACAGAGTCCTCTGGCTCTTTGTTCTTTATCGCAGACTTGGGTATTCTGTGTTGTCTCCTAGTTATTTAATGGTACACTCATGAACCTAAAGGTGTGGTCCACATCACTGGGAACAGAAAACGCTAAATGTTTAAGTGGTTTAACAAGTCAAAGTAGCTCTAACCTGCACCTCCAATTACTGACTGGCCTCCAACTATTAGTTCCAGTCATATTTTCTTCCTCAGAAGCCTGACCAGCAGGCTGAGCCTATGGTCATTACTCATGGTTTATTTGTGTGTTTTTGTTAAAAAGGAGCGTAGATTAGATGAACAACTGGCCAGATGTATAGATGAATGTAAAGAATTCCAAATGTTTTACATCTCATTTTTCCTTTTGGAAAACAAGAAAAGTGAGAACTACATTTTGATACATGAAACATTTTAACAGCTATCATTTTAGGAGGTTTACACCTTTATTTTATTACATAAGAGCTTATATGAATGAAACCCAATGTGCTGTTCTTGTTACTACTACTACAACATCATCTTCATTTCAGAAATATACATACACACACACACACGCACACGCGCACACACACACACATTCTCAGACAAAAACAAAAATTAAAATAAAATAAATAGAATCTAAATTACATGAAATGACAACCGTTAAGTCTGAAATGGAGTAGGAAGAAATATGTACATACTTATTAATCCCTACCTTACGCTCACTCTATTGAATCACCATATTCAGTGTTACCCCAACTTCCCCTCATCACTTCCCCCACACAATAAGGAATGAAGGACAAATATAAAGATAGCTACAGTGATAGCTATAATTCAGATACAATTTAGCATAGTTATATATACTATCAGTCATCAACTTTATCAGTTTCGTATTCTTCCAAAAGCAGTATTTGAAACATCTTTATGAACTCATTAATGCTTGAAGATATAATATAGAAGTATATAAAATGTTAATTTTATATATAAAATGTTAATTTTATATATAAAATGTTAATTTTATATACTTGCCAAAAAGTAATCAAACTATTTTTACAATCTTAACATACTTATGTGTACTTCACGTACAGCATATGTATAAATATGTTAACGCTGACCCTTTTCTATAATCATTTACATTTGTACATTTAACTGGTTGCAAATGAGTTTTAAAGATATGACATGTGTATACTTTTATTTCAGGTCTTTTTTGAGGTAATTTTATGGTCAATTATGCTTCATGTTCAAGCGTGAATTCTTTCAGATTTGCTCTTATAGCACCATCTACTGTCCTCAAGAACAAAGTGCTGAGAAAGCAGGCAGTCAGAACTGAGTCAAATTGTAATTTGGGAAATTACAGTTTGTTCCAACAGAAACCGAATTACTTAAGCTGTATCTTCTAATAATATAGCATTAGTAACAACTGTTTTAAAATAAAAAATATCACAAATATTAAATATTATTTAGTTTTTATGGCCTTAAGACGCTGTACACCTACTTTTTTTTACATTTATTTTTCTTAAGCAACATGTAATGGAATATGCTGTATAAATAAAGAGACATGGACATTGTTGCAGGTATATTGATAAATAAATTATCGGACTTGTGTTTTTCTTTCAATTTTATTTAGCAAAAAATTATTTGTCCTTTTTATTCATCTGTTCGCGCTCACTGGCAACTTTAAGTACACTTGTTGAGCTACTCGTTACTAACAATGTCTGAATCAATCAGTATTCAGCAACTCATTGCACCTAGGCATGTAGACATGGTCGAGACAACCTGCTGAAATTCAAACTGAGCATCAGTAAAAAAAAAAAAAAAAGGAAGGTTGTTTACGTGGCTCTGAATGTGACACAGTTGTTGGTGCCAGACGAGCTGGTGTGAGTATTACAGAAACTGCAGATCTGCTGGGATTTTAGAACACAACCATATCCAGAGTTTACAGATGATATACAGGGAGTGCAGAATTATTAGGCAAATGAGTATTTTGTCCACATCATCCTCTTCATGCATGTTGTCTAACTCCAAGCTGTATAGGCTCGAAAGCCTACTACCAATTAAGCATATTAGGTGATGTGCATCTCTGTAATGAGAAGGGGTGTGGTCTAAT